AGTGACTTCAATGTCATGATGCGTGTGCAGCAACTGTCTCTTATACACATCTAGATGTGTATAAGAGACAGTAATAAATATATATTTTTTCTTTAGAAGTGAAGTTATAAAATTTTGGAAAAAAATCTTAAGCAAGAAGAATTTCAAAATATTGAATAATGAAAATAAGGAAAATACTAAAGCCAAAAGTATTTTTTAAATAAAACGTAATTTTAATATTTTATGCAATTTAAAACAATTTTTTGTTTTTCAAAAATTAAGAAATGAGCGGTATTTTTTACTTCAATTTTGTTTGAATTAATTTGCATTTTTAGTTAATTTTTGAAGAAAGTTTACTTTGAACAAAGATTTTAGAAATGTAGTATTTAAAAAAATTTAAAACATTTTCTTTTAATAATAAAAATGTGTAAGGATTTTAGCCAAGTCGCGTTTTTGAAACATATTTAACACAGTTATGAAACTGGATAACCAAGTATTGTTTCAACAATTTTAGTTTCGAATATATCTTTTCACTTGTTTAATAACTGTATAAAATACTTTATGCAAATTGCACCATTTCACTGCTTGTTTTAGTTCTTCGATGAATCCGATTTAATTTTTTCAAAATTTCATAATTTCTTTAGAAAACCATAATATTGGCTTTTAGCATTTTTCACTTTTGAGTCATTTTATCTTTCATTAATAATATTTTTTCAAACTTGAAGTTGTAATTGCATGATCACACGCATACATACCAGCAGCTTCATCCTAAGTCACGGTTGCAACGAAAAGTTCAAATTAGTTAAACGCGAAATCCTCTGTCTGATATCCTGCGATGCTATTCCTTACGCACACAGCAAATTCACAATCCTTTAAACACTTTTGCGCAGATATTTCTTCGTTTGCGAAAGGAACTGCAAACAAATGAAATGGAAAAAACAAAAGACTTAAGAAACAAACTCGAGCACTGAATGATTGTAATTCGTCGCTGTTTAACAGATCACTAATATTTTTCTACAACACAAGCTGTATTATATATCTGTCTCTTATACACATCTAGATGTGTATAAGAGACAGATTATATATAGAGCAAATATCCAAAGAAATATAAATATATATATATATATATTTTTTTTTTCATTAGTTCTATATATAATACCTGTCTCTTATACACATCTTTCTTTTCGCTACTTGGCGCCAATCGGAGATTCCAAACGAATCATGGTCCTTCTCCACCTGGTCCTTCCAACGGAGTGGAGGTCTTCCTCTTCCTCTGCTTCCCCCGGCGGGTACTGCGTCGAATACGTTCAGAGCTGGAGTGTTTTCGTCTATTCGGACAACATGACCCAGCCATCGTAACTGATGTTTCTTAATTCGCCGACCAATTCAATATCGNGACTTAAGAAACAAACTCGAGCACTGAATGATTGTAATTCGTCGCTGTTTAACAGATCACTAATATTTTTCTACAACACAAGCTGTATTATATATAGAGCAAATATCCAAAGAAATATAAATATATATATATATATATTTTTTTTTTCAATATTAAATCAATTTATTGCTTGCTGTTTTTGCTGAATTTCGATTTGGTTTTTGTTATTACTTTGTAAACGCCGCACGATCCGTGCACGAGACGCGAGTTTTTGCAGCTACGTGGAGGGAGAGAAGAACGTAAAGCTAACTGTTGTGTATAGCAAAACAGTAAACGATTGAATGATGCCAATTGTGGCCACAGTCTGCACTTTTATAGTTAATTCCATTTTCATTTGGCCAACCGAGTCGTTGCGGCTGCGTTTACCGCCGCTGGCTAGCCGAAGAGGTTGCCGAAAAAGCTGCAGTGGACGAAGGCGAAGAAGTGGAGCAGCAAGCCACGGCAAGACATGCAAAAATATGCCAGACAACAATAGTGCAAATAAAAATAACAACAACAACGACAGCTTGCGAGCAATACAGCAGCAAGAAAAGTAAAACTGCTGTAATAGCTACAATAACAGCAACAGCTGGAAGAGTAGCGTTGCTCAAATACACGCATACACACATGTACGTAACCGTACGGCAGCTGTGTATGTGTGTGTGTGTGTGGGCTAAAATGAATGTACGCGCGCAGACGCAATGCAGCAGTGTGGTTACATATAAAGCAACAACAACAACTACAAGCACGTTGCAAGCAAACGTCGCACTCACACAGACACACACACGTATGCATACGTGCTCGCAACATGCAGCAGTGCAGCGCTAAGCAACCGTGCGGCTCAGCGTCGCGGCGCTTGCGCTTCTCCATGTTGTCACTGTTGTTACTGTTGTTTTTGTTGCTCTATTGCCACTACATTGCATATTTGTTTTTGCCTTTGTTGTTGGCTTTTATTGCTGGTTACACCGCCGCGTGTGCGTCCGCAAACACTGCTCGGACGTGCTGCATCAGCTTTGTGTGTGTGTTGGTCGGCTTCACACATTCGCTTATTTGCTTTAGTTTTTCCTATTGTTTCACGCTTGTGCGTCAGCTTTTAGTTGTGTTGCTGTCCGTCTGGCGCAAACGTAATTGAATTAAAAACGCATCGAAAAGTGTTATTGCCGCCACTGCACTTCTGTTTTTCAATACACCATTGCTCGACTCTTTGTTCCTACCCTTGTACCTTTCGGCTGGCGAGACGCTTTGTGATGCGCAAGCGCGTTGTTTTTTCGGTTTATTTCTCGCTTGAAGAGTTTTGTGTGCGCGTATGTTGGTCGGTAGTTATATGTGGTCGCTTCTTGTATTCTCGTAAAACGTGCAAGTGCTGTTATTGCTTCATGTTGTTACAATATTTGATGTGCCTTGTTGTTTTTGGCGGGATCAAGTGTGGTAATCGTTTGGCGATAATATAATATAATTAGATAAGCAATCACTTTTATTGTAGCTTGTCAATTGCTTTATGAGCGCAAGTCTTGTTGCTTGTTGCTTGTTGCTTGTCGCTATTTTTCGATATTTTGTCAGATTGTCATTTGATACTTTTTATTGCGCTCAGCAAATGTTAGTTGGTGGAAAACCAACTGAGTTTGCACATTTTGCAAACGCGCGATTTCGGAATGTAAAAGAGGCCGTTATTGCAGAAAAATTAGGTAAAAGTACTTTGGAAATCGTGTTAATAGCTTAATTGGGTTGGCAGCTTCTCTTAAATTGACGTTTTAATGTACAAATTTTGAAGCTTTTCATGATTGATGAGTGTTGCCGTCTCACAAAATGCGTTCTGTTGGATGGTATAATGATATTAAGCCGTATGAAGTCAATTATAAGGCTACTTGAATAGAAAAATTACAAATATTGCAAATAACTAAAAGGCAAAGGAGAACGAAAGATAAAATAACAAAGATGAAAGGAAAAATAATTTACATCATCATGTAGAGGCGTGGTTGAATTTTTAAGGATTAAAAAGGGCTTATATCGAGTTGTATGGCAAAGTTGTAGATAATGAAAAGACCTTCAACTGCTATATAGACACCTTTCTACATAACATGAAAATTTGTGTGAAAAATTCAAATATAAAAGTTTTTCAATATCTTACTTTTTTTTGTACAAAAATGTTTTCTCTGACGAAATTTGGTGTAAACTTATCTTCTTATGTTGCAAACGCACCACATTTAGTATTTAAAATATTTAGAAGAAAACGTCATTTTAACTTAAAATCGAGAAAAACCCGTACTTTTCAATTAAAAGATCTCACGGCAGTTTTTCGGATATTTTTGAAAAGTCTGTAAGTTTTGTACATGATGAAATCTTTACTTTCTGATGGTATGAGAAGTATGTATATGGTAAATTTTCTCAAAAAATGCATGGCGCGATATCTAAAATGTGTTATATAATGACACAAATTATATTATAAAAGGATATATATATATATAATTAATATTAAAATGATTGAAATTCAAAAGGAAAAAATGTTGACTTCAGCTGCTTTTTAGCTTTCATATTGTTGACAGGTTCATACCTTTTATCCTAATCACATGAACGGTTTGCATCCACTAGTAATTGTTTTAGACACCTTCAAGTCGACTTAAGGTTATGTTGTCACGCGACATACATAGGTCTGCTGATTCTTAGTAATACCAAATGGTTATGGGGGTTTTTTTTTAAGAGGGACTTAATACCTAATTTTGATAATTTTTTATGGAAAAAAAAACAAGTTATTCATACAAGAATTTGATTGGATTAATCAGTTTATATGAAGCAGTCTTCTGCTTCTTGGGAAACGAACCATGCCAAATTTCAGATCAATATCTCAAAAACTGAGGGATTAGTTCGCGTATATATGAACATACAGATGGATATTTCTGATCGATTCAGTTCATCACCCTGTATTAATTTCATACGTTACGAATATATTTTCTGAAGTGACGAAATATTGAAATTTCTGTGAATTGAATTTTTCCAATATTCCGAACATGCGTTGGAAATCTACTGTCCTTGTGAGTCATTTTGCGGCATATGTCATTGATTTGAAGCGTTAACAACATAATTCATTATGATTTTACTCAAATATGTCGAAGTTTGTGCTGAAAAAGTGTTGCTTGTGAGAAGTTCTTCCTTATTACATAAATACATATGTATGTAGAAAACCTCAGTCGAAAGTCGTTGTAGGTTGGTAGATGTTTACGGTGAACACGCTTTTGCTGAGCAAATAAGCGAAAGTAGTTGTTTTTGGCTTACAATATAAGTAGTAACCCAAATAGTTTAAAGAAAAGGAGCTGAAATCATTACTCGTCTAAAATTGCCGGGGAACTAAACATTTATTTGAAACATGAACTTTATTATATTAATATAATAATTAATATTAAAATATAAAAGCCTACTAAATTGAAAAAAACACATTATAAATCGCAGACGTGTAGTCAGTTTGAATGCAACAGTTTCACAAAGCAAAACGATGAGGGCCAAGTGACTTCAATGTCATGATGCGTGTGCAGCAACGACCGGGCGATCAAACTATCTTGAAGCATGTTCGTCCTCAGTCACATTAACATGCGGCGAAGTTTTGAAAAAAAAAAAAAACGTTCAGAGCTCATATTCGCTGAATATGCGAAAAAAATATGAATTAAGGGGTATGGGTCTTAATCGCAGTTCTCCAACGTTTCCCATGCGGTAGTAGGTAACTTGTTGTCTTTGGACTTTTGCTTCCACCCCTACCCTTCCAGTCATCAAGTCATTATCCAAAAGGCTTCTGAATCAATCTATCAAGCGAACAGTTCCGTTTCTTTGGTTTTCAAAGTAGATGCTTTTTTGGAAGCAGCAAAATCAGTTGAAATCTATCCAATACTTCTCTAGAAAAGCGCGTCTTCAAATCTTGCATCCTTTGAAAAAGAAGTCGGTCTTGAAATCGGATTGCGACGGGTGAAGAAAAACGGATCCATTACAGCAACGTTAACGGCAAAAAGTCAGCCCTGGCCGACCAGTCGCAATAACAGCAAAGTGGAATATCCATGACTCCAGGGTATTATTTGGTATTTGATGGCTTCAGGAGGACGTTCCATAGTATAAACTTCGAAGTCTGGGTGAAGGCATTATTGGAAAACTCTATCGACCATAATTCATTAAATTAAGAACGATTGCTGAAAAGAGAAACGAATAGGCACTAGGGAACATTTTTTTATTATAACGACGCTCGGCATTGTGTTGCAAGACCGAAAAAAACTTTTAGAAAAACAGTGGCTGCGAAGTTTTACAAAACCGGTTTTAAACAACCAGACGCTACCCCTTCTTTCTATTATTTGTTCCGGTTAAGGCAGAAAGCCCCCACTGAAATACAGTTCATAATACAACAGGATGAAAAAAATTGAGTTGACTCAATCTTTTTGAACCGGGGGGGAAAAAAACCGTCCGAAAAGAGCTCAGTAAAATACCAAAATCTTTTGAAGCAAATATGAATGGATTTTATTTGCGGAACACTTTGCTAAATGTGGTTTTCCATTGAGTATTGAATTAACACCAATTTACACTTTGATTAATTGTTGTCGACTTTGCACAAGCAACTTCAGCTATTTATGCCATTTCGACGACGGAGCAATACATTATCTCTTTTTGTCATCAAAATTCATTACATTAAAATCACTTCCTGAACAATGAAGCCACAAATATTCGCATTGCCGCCAAATAACTAGCTTCTAATTCAACTTTTATTGACCACAAATATGCAACACATGTGAAAACACATACACATAAGACGCTAGAGGTTTAAAAACTAAGAAACGCACGTGATACATATATATATACAGACTTATGAGTATGTATGTATGTAGCTGCAAACTGCTTTGTCTTTTATTTGCCAACCATCAAATTCATTAGGTTACTTGGTTAAGAGGCAGTCATCTGTCGTCAGACCAAAAGACAGCCAGCCAACCAACCAGCCGTGCAATGACCAACATTTCCCATAATAATTGTGGAAGCCACTTGATTGTATTGTCTGTCTTTGGGCAGCGCAGCATACATCTCTCGGCTTTCCAATCTTTTTATTTTTAATTTTATTTTTATTTTATAATCAAGTATTACTGCATTTCTCCGAGGTTGGTGTTGATTTTATTTGATTATTTGGTTACGGCTGTTGCATGCAACACACATTAGTAGCGGCAGACACCGCCGGCAACCACAAACTGCTGTTCGGCGGCTGCTCGCGCTCAACGCTTGCTGCACATCTCCCAACTCGTTTTACTTGCCTGCATTAATTCGACGTCT